TTGAGCGTCTGCCCCCTGGTGGTCAGTGCGCATCATAGTGACCCATTGACCAGTCATTCGGTCGCTTAAGCTTTTATATATATATATAGATTGTTGTCAACTATTAACTATCCTGTACTCACATATGTAAAAGATGTATATGTCTATCATTTTACTTTTTATCCAATCTCAGAGGTTCCCTCCACACACTTTGCTTTCTCCCGCCTCCCTAATCTATCACCAATGGATTTCATGTAACCCACTTATGCCTCCTGTTTTTATTGTAATGTACAACATAAAGTGCAAAACTGCCATTTTCTAGAGCATTTTCTCAATCTGTTGAGATTTTGTTTCCTGACAATTGTGTTCAGTTTGGCTCAAATAAACTCATAAAAATTCTTACAGGTTTTAGACACTTCTTACATCAACAGGCTAATGATTCTCAATGGGGGCAAACTCCCACCACCCCACTTTGAGGACCTCTGCCAGAGCAAGCCCTGGTTACTTATCGGAGCATCTAGCATTCTTTTGTGTTTTAAGGCTACAAAGTGAGTAATAAACATGATTTTAAAGGATTCTGAGTAGAGAGGAGGATGGTTGTTTTTTTTTTTTTAAAGGAAGGTTTTCCCCACAGGAAATCTTTTTATAAGCCCAATATGTAGATAGAAGAAACTCTCACCAGCCTATTGGAAATGGGGGTGGAAGTCCTGGAATGCCACCTGCTCCTGCTGCCTTGTTTCTTTGCCTTCTGTCTGCAGCAGAGGAGCTCCACAGAACCCTAGGGCTCCAAGAAGTTGCCTTGGGGCTTAAACTCAGGGACAAACAGTGCGGGCCATGCAGATGGAGACTCAGATATGGCTGCCAGTCAGCTCTGCAAAGGGGGCAGTCCCAGCTTAGGAACAATGACCCCTGGGAGCACCCCTGTCTGGGAGAAAGCCGCCCCCAAGTTCCTGTCCGGATGCCAGACAGTCCAGTTCCTCCCTATATGTCCCTGGATTCCTCCAGCTTCCACCAGAAAAGTCCATTTGTATCTATTTCACAAATTGGGTTTCTTGTAATATTTCCTTTGAGGAAAGGGCTGTGTGGATATTCTCTCAAGTTCAGAAACCACTGTTCTAAAGGAAGGGCTGGACTGCAGAGCCTTTGGGTAAAACCAAATCAGGTGAGCTTGTGAAAGAGTGATACCCCTGGCCCCTCATTGAGCCCCTCCCAAGGCAGCAGCTCTGAGATCCCCAATCTCTCCTTCGGTTCCTCTAGTTCAGGGGTCCTCAAACTACGGCCCGCGGGCCACATGCAAATACAAATATTGTATTTGTTCCCGTTTTGTTTTTTTACTTCAAAATAAGATATGTGCAGTGTGCATAGGAATGTGTTCATAGTTTTGTGTTTTTTTTAAACTATAGTCCGGCCCTCCAACGGTCTGAGGGACAGTGAACTGGCCCCCTGTTTAAAAAGTTTGAGGACTCCTGCTCTAGTTCCTCCTCTAGCAGGCCAGGGGGATCCCCAAGGCCTTCCCCATCTTTTAGCCATTTTCATAGGTTGGGAGAAAATATGGCCATTGTTGGTGTTCTGTTACCAGGCTGCTCTCCTCTCAGAGTGGGGGCGCCTCTCAGGTCCAGGAGACCCTGTCCCGCAATCCGATGGTCTACATTCCAAGCCACCATCAGTGCTCTGAGGTCAGGACTCCAGACAGCCTCTCTGGCCTCTAGGAAGAAGGACTTGACCCAGAGAGCAGAGTGATACCATGGGAGTCACAGAGTCTTTATAAGTGATAAGCTCTTTGGGGAACTTGACAGGGAAAGGGGGCATTCCTGGTGAGAACATTTTGTTTTATTTATTTATTTTTAAATATTTTTAAAAATTGTTTTTAGAGAGGAAGGGAGAGGGAGAGAGAAAGAGAGAGAGAGAGAGAGAGAAGAGAGAGAGAGAGAGAGAAACATCAATGATGAGAGAGAATCATGGATCGGCTGCCTCTTGCACGCCCCCTACTGGGGATCGAGTCTGCAACCCAGGCATGTGCCCTGACCGGGAATTGAACTGTGACCTCCTGGGTCATAGGTCGACGTTGAACCGCTGAGCCACAGCTGGGTTCTAGTTTATTTTTTAATTAAAATTTTTTTTGACAGTTTCTGTATAACTTTCATCCAGCTTCCACTGGATGTTAACAATTTATATTTTTTATTTTTAAATATATTTTTATTGATTTCAGAGAGGAAGAAAGAGGGAGAGAAATAGAAACATCAATGATGAGAGAGAATCATTGATTGGCTGCCTTCTGCACGCCCCACAGTCTCAAATACAAATGAAAAAGAACAAATGCATGCAAATAAAATTAATAACAACACTAACAATAATCATAACATTTATTGAGAGTTTTCTATGTGCTGGGACATCAGCAGATATATTCTGTTACCTTCCAGATAAGTTTAATCAAATAAAGTCCTGCCAGCAAAACACCAGGATACATGGGTTTGGGCCTCAGCTTTGCCATTAAACTGTGGCCTTGGAAAAGCCCTTATACAACCTGGACCTCTGGGTTTTGCTTTTCGTGTTTTTGTTGTTGTTTTTTTATATTTTTATTGATTTCAGAGAGGAAGGGAGAGGGAGAGAGAGAGAGAAACATCAATGATGAGAGAGAATCATTGATTGGCTGCCTCCTGCACGACCCCCATTAGGGATCAAGCCCGAAATCCAAGCATGTGCCCTTGACCGGAATTGAACCCGGGACCCTTCAGTTCTCAGGCTGACACTCTATCCACTAAGCCAAACTGGCTAGGGCTGTCGTGTTTTTAATTTGTAAAATAAGGGGTTGGACAAGATCAGTAGGTTATAAACTTCTATTTTCTTTGATCAATAGCACCCAGTTTTCAGCACCTGCATCTAACAAGGGATAAAAGCTGATATCTCAGGTTGAAGCTCCTGGCCTCACACCTGCTCCCCCCCACGCCCCCCTCACCACTGCCTCCCAGTCCTGGTGGACTCCCAGGAGGAAACACTCAAAGCCCCTCTCGGTTCTAGGAAGCCCAGCTTAGGAGGCAGCTGTCTCACAGCTCTACTCAGGGGGAAAGAAACCTTTTGTGCTCGGAGACAAAGGCGTGACCGGCTGGGGAACTTCCTCTCTGCTTCAGCAGAAAGGAGGAGCCGGCAGTGTGGCATTCTCAAACACAGTGAACCCCCACAGTGGTCGGCAAAGCGCGGCTCGCGAGCCACATGCGGCTCTTTGGCCCCTTGAGTGTGGCTCTTCCACAAAATACCGACTTCTGCACATGGGCCACGAAGTTTCAACCGCACTGTATGTGCGTGCCCGAACGTGGTATTTTGTGGAAGAGCCACACTCAAGGGGCCAAAGAGCCGCATGTGGCTCGCGAGCTGCGGTTTGCTGACCGCGGCAGGACCTTCCTAAGCAGATGGACCTGCAGGCCTCTGCCCCTGGTACCCCTGTCCCGCTTCCCTGGGTCTGGAGTGGGGCCAAGGAATTAGCATCGTCAGGGCGCTCTGGGTGATTCTGATGCAGACAGCACAAAACCTGCATTTTGAGAACAATCAGCATGAAGGAGGCAAGGGACATGCAACCCAGGAGGTGGATTTCAGGAAAGAAGAGCAGACAAGTCATGGTTAAGAGAGAAGCTGAGGGAAGAGTGTGTATATTTAGGAACCACTCTGGGATCTGTCACCTCAACTGTTGCTAACTTTGTCCATCCTTCTGAAACACTTGCTTTTGAGACAACACACACTTAAACTTTCAGGTTCAGCAGGTAACTTGGCCTCTACTTTAGGAGAAAATATGGCTACATTTTAAGGAATACAGATCATCATCAACTAGAAATCTTTGATATGCTTGCTAAGGAAAGTAAGGTTGGTCAAACATTACAGCATGAAAACTCTGGGGTACAAAGATGAAGTTAGTTTTGTTCACATCGACATCTATACACCATCTAATGCCAGAGATGTTGCCGAATATCCCAGCAAGTGAATGTCTGGTCTTAGCTTGAACACCAGGGGCCAAAACTACCTCCCAAGGTCACCCTGTGCGTCCTGGACAGCTCTGACCATCAGAGATATTTTTTATTTCTTACACTCCCCCTCAATCTGATTTGATCCACATTATATCCTCACAGAATGATTTAAAGTCTTTCTGTAACATTAACAATTGGATCAGCAATCGGGTACAGATTGCTTTTTTTTTATTAAATATATTTTATTGATTTTTTACAGAGAGGAAGAGAGAGGGATAGAGAGTTAGAAACATCGATGAGAGAGAATCGTTGATTAGCTGCCTCTTGCACACCTCTACTGGGGATGTGCCTGCAACCAAGGTACATGCCCTTGGCCAGAATCGAACCTGGGACCTTTCAGTCCGCAGGCCGACGCCCTATCCACTGAGTCAAACCGGTCAGGGCCAGATTGCTTCTTTAAAGAGGGCCAAGTTTTCTTCCTCTGAATAATTGCTCAATTGGGAATATAACTAACTTGAAATAGAAAGACTTCATTCATTCATTCATTCATTCATTCATTCATTCATTCATTCATCTGTTCCAAAAATATCAGTTGAGCTACATGTGTCTAGCATGGGAGCCAGAAAAAGATGGGGTCTGTTTATAAGATCAAATGATCACAGCTACATAGGAGCCGCCAAGGCTGGACAGAAAGTTTTCTAAGAGTTTGGGAGAGGTGGTATGTCTGGTGGTTGCGGGGGGGGGGGGGGGGGGGGGGGGGGGGTGAGGGGGGGGGGGGGGGGGGGGGGGGGGGGGGGGCGAGGGGGCGGGGGGCGACGGGGGGAGTGTCTGGAAACACAGTGGGTGGGGAGTCTAGGAGGGCTTCACTTAGGAAGTGGTATCTGAGCTGAGTTGATAGGCAAGACATGAATCAATGGGCAAACCATCTTTCCAATGAGGCTCAGAGAGAGACATCTTCCCAAGAAGGAGAGGGAGGGGCTTTGTGAGGAAGGAGGAAGTTAGGGGCTGGAGCTAGGGTGAAAATTATTTCCCTCTCCTCGGGACTGTCAAATAGTCACTGTCTTTAGTCACTTGCAGACAGCTTGCTTTCTTCATAGCCTTGGGCACTGGCCAAGTCACAGCTCCCGGGTACCAGGCTGCGGACATGGGGGCCCTTCCGTGGCTGCTCCTGCTCTCACTGCTCCAGGAAGGTGAGAGCGACTGCAGCAGGGACAGGAGTGTGCCCTTCACCCTCTTTCATCGGCTGAGCCTGGGGCTAGCAAGTCATTTTCTTTGGGGCCAAAGGCTTCAGCTCTTCTGGAGGGAAGAGGAATAGGGGATGGCTTCAGGGCAGGACCAAGAGAAGAGGAGGCCTGGAGATGTGGAAGGGAGAGTAGCCCCCGATGGCAAACAGAGGAGGTCAAATTTGGAGAGTAAGGGCACAGATGGAAGCTGACCTCTGGTAGGTAGTCAAGTTGAGCAGAAAGCTAAAGCCAGAAGAGGCAGCTGAAGGACAAGTCCAGGGCCATAGCACTTGCTCGACTGAGAGTGAGAGCACAGCCCTGCTGCCAGTCTCAGCAGCCCAGATATGCCAGCTGGTCTGTTTGCACCCCTTTCCTTCCTTTCTCTGCAGCCAAAGGAGATTCTGGAGACGGCGTGGATCCCGAGGAAGTGGTCGCAGTCCTGCAGGAGTCCATCAGTCTCCCCCTGGAAATACCACCTGACGAAGAGGTTGAGAACATCATCTGGTCCTCCCACGTAACGCTGGCTATTGTGGTGCCAACGAAAGAGGGACATTTAGCTAACGTCACGGTGACCGACCCTCGCTACGAGGGCCGAGTGAGCTTCCCGAGTCCCAGCTACTCTCTGCACATCAGCAATCTGAGCTGGGAGGACTCGGGGCCTTACCAAGCTCAAGTCAACCTGAGGACGTCCCAGATCTCCAGCCTGCAGCAGTACAACCTACGCATCTACCGTGAGTTTAGTTTGGGAACTGCACGCCTGCCTTCGCTGGCTTTCCTGGGCTTCCCATGCAGAGGAGGAGGGGTCTCGGGCTTGGGGTTATGACTTGAGGGGTTGGGACTGGAAGGCAGACTGTCCCTAGTGTACCCAGCCCCAGCATCGGGCTGCCTTGCTGCTGCGGGTGGAGTGACCTGGAGCAAGGAAGCACGGGGGCATGGAGGCTGTTGCTGTGGAGGGGCCTGACAGAGCGCTCCGGGCTTTGTGGGAGATTAATAGACAACCTTCTGTCCCAGTGAGATTTCACACTGGGCGGGGGGGGGGGGGGGGTGTGTGTGTGTGAATGCACCTCCAGTCTTGAGCCTTTTTTTTTTATCCTTCTGAGTGATTTGAGGGCTACTAATCAGTGACTCCTCTCTACTTGAATGCAAGTTCCTTCTTAGTGCCCATGACATTGACTGATATTCTACCTTGGATCTTGTTAAGACATTGATTAAGCTATAAATGTTCCTGAGAGGGTAACAGTATGTTCTGGGCTCGAGGAGGCAGAGTGGGGTTTGGAGGAAGGTGGGTGCCAACGTGAGAGAGAAGCAAGGTATAAAGGGGAAGTGGAAGATGCCACAGGCAGCCCTGCCGGCCTCCGCAGCTGCCTGGGGACCCTGGGTTGTACGGTGGCCGAGTTTTGTTAGTTTCTGCCTACTTGTTTGGGTGGAGGGGCCCTGAGAGGACAGCACCCAGACCCCAGTGTTGAGGAACTTAGGAAAACAGACCCAAGCCCTGATGACCTAGCAGGCTTTTGTGTTCCTCCTTCATCCAGGACGGCTGTCGGAGCCTTCCATCACTGTGAACTTTGAGATCTCTGGGGACGGTCCCTGTAATATGTCCCTGACATGCTCTGTAGAGCAGGCCGGCCTGGACATGACCTACAGCTGGATATCCCGGGAGGATGGTGTTGACACAGCACATGAAGGCTCTGTCCTCAGCACATCCTGGAGGCCCGGGGACCATGCCCTCTCCTACACCTGCAGGGCTAGCAACCCCGTCAGCAACATGAGTTCCTATCTCATCCCTGCTGGGCCCTTCTGTGCAGGTACCAGGACCCTGAGCTACTGCAGAGCCTCGAGGCCACCACCTTCATTCATCAGTTCTTCCCAAGAGAATACATGGAATCTAGAACCTAACCCTCTCCCAGAGGGACTTGACCCCTGGATTGGGTGGGGGGCTCCCCTCTTTCCCTAGAACACCCAACTTCCGAAGGTCTCTTCTAGACTCTTGCTCAGCTTGAGATTGCTCCCCAGATCTCAGTTCCTGAGCTTTTGTGAATAGAATAAGTATTTCAAGAGACACTTGCAAAGGCACATCAGCTGACTGAACTTGACCCCTCTGTGGGATTTGGGGTGGGTGTCTGCAACTCACCTTTCCCTTTGGTAAGCCCCCCACTCCCTCTGCCTCCTCCCTTCTTCTGTTCCAGATCTTAGGTACCCTTCAGAGAAGGCCTCCGCTTCCTTCTGCCTCCTGGTCAAGGCACTGCTCCTCCTCCTGCTCTTGGTAACCCTGGCCACGGGGCTGTGGCTCGCTCGAGGCCAGAAAGGATGCAAGATACCAAGGATGAAAAAAATCAGGAGAAACAGATTGAGACTGAGAAAGACGGACAAGCCTGGCCCAGCTGGCTTAGAGGTTGAACGTCGACCTATGAACCAGGAGGTCACAGTTGGATTCCCGGTCAGGACACGGGCCCTGGTTGCGGGCTCAATCCCCAGTCGGGGGCGTGCAGGGGGTCTATGATTCCCTTTCATCATTGATGTTTCTATCTCTCTCCCTTTCTCTTCCTCTCTGAAATCAATAAAAGTATATTAAAAAATAAAGTTTGAGAGAGAGAGAGAGAGAGAGAGAGAGAGAGAGAGAGAGAGAGGAGCCTAGCCCTTGCCTGGCCTGATAGCCCCTTGGGGACCCCCATCCTGACCACTGTTTCTTCCCAGCTCCAGGAAATCCTCCTTTTCCAAAGGCTATACTTGTCAAAGGGCTGAGGGTGGATGTACAAAGGGCCTTACCCTCCCAGGGACGATTGGCAATAAAGTTGAATCAGATGACTGCCATTCTGGAGAAGCTTGTTTGGTCCCTCACTGGATGACTTTGGTAAGCCTGTGTCTCTTCCCTTCCTCTCCAGGTGCTCCCTCCAGTCCCCTTCCCTTCCTCTCCAGGTGCTCCCTCCAGCCCCCTTCCCTTCCTCTCCAGGTGCTCCCTCCAGCCCCCTTCCCTTCCTCTCCAGGTGCTCCCTCCAGCCCCCTTCCCTTCCTCTCAGGTGCTCCCTCCAACACCCCTCCTCTCCCTCCAGTCCCCTTCCCTTCCACTCCAGGTTTCCCCTCAAATTCTGGCTTCCTTCCATTCCAGGTGCCCCCTTTCCAGCCCACGTGTTCTCATGCCTGCCTTCGGGGATAGAAGTGAGACTTCACAATGCGGTGGTGGTGTATTATTCACCACCACCTGTCACCTTCCCCATTAATATACAGAGTGTTTACATTTTAAATGAGAGAAGTGAGAGATTTCTTCTAATTTACTTAATCTGTGACTCTTCAATGGGCGCATTGCCGGCACTGAGAACCCTGTGAGGAGTAGTGTTCCTGCTAAGATCTGCTCTCACAGCCCCCCTTCCACCCTGGCTGCAAGTGCACTTAACTCTTCCCGTGCACCCCACCCCAGTCTAGAGGCTGGGTTCTCAGGGAGACAGGAACCCTCCCCTCCCTTAATCCCCCTCAGTGCTGCTCCTCTCTGGGTCTGAGTGAGACTGGAACCTTCCAGCCATCTCCCTGATGCCAGCTGCTCTGACCCTCTGGTACCTACCCCATAGGGATAACTGCTGGATCAATAGCTGCGGTCTGGACCCTTAACCTTTATTTGTGATTCGTCTTACTGTCCTTTCTCTATAGATTTCCATGTCTCACACCTCTCTGGATTCTTGTCCTGGGTTAATGCCTACCTGTTACACACCACTCCTCTTGGGCAAAGGCCCTTCAATTTGTGATCCTGTTCTTTCCTGAGCCCACTGACTAGCCTGGATTCCTCATCCAGGCCTGATCAGCTACTGCCAAGCCTTGGTCATTCTCCCAAAATCACACCTTGTGAAGCTGCCATGGGTAGGGGAATTGGGGAGAGACTAGGAAGTCACCCAAGTGACAGGACACGTGTCGGTATGAGTGAATGAAAGGGGGCATAGAGTCCAGTGGGGAGCGCACTGGGGGAGATCTCAGAAGATGTGGGCTCTGCCCTGCCACTCGCCTCTAGCTTAAGACACTTTGCTCAGGAAACGCCCATTGGGGTACGGTTCCTTCCACAAAGAACACACACTTGGAAGGAGAGGCAGGCCTTGGTACAGCTGATTGGTGCATTTACAGAGATACGGCTAAGAGAGCACCGTGGCTCCCACAGAGGCAGGAGGAGCTGTGCCCCTGGGGAGTTTAGGAGTCCGAGGGGCTGGGAAAAGCCATGTGGCAGAAACCACACCTGACATTTGTCTGGACCTTACCTCCCCCCTCCCTCAGTGAGGACGAAGACGCTGACCTCCAAAGTGCCTTCTAAGACAAGGGCTCCTAGGCTGTGAGGGGCTTTGGAATGCCTGGTAATGGTGGAGACCGAGGACACTGCTTTGGGGAAAACCGGACGTGTGGGCCAGGCACCAGGAACCTAGGAGGGTGGTTCTGGGCAGCATGGGCGGAAGCTAAGAGCCAGGCCTCCTGGACAGGAAAGGAGCGGGGCTAGGAGGTCAGGAGGGGCTTCCTACCTAGGGTTTATGTGCAGGACAGGGAGCCCCAGGGGGCTGGGGAAGGTGGTGGCAAGGGTGGGAAACCAGTCCTCAAAGAGCTCCTACGTCTGGCAACAGATCCGCTCTGCTCTCGGGGCCCCAGCCCTGGTTCTGCTGGAAGGCAGTCCCTAGCCCAAGGCTGATTTTCCACGCCTCTCCGCAGGCCTACACAGCCCCACTTTCTACGAGGCCTGAGTTCTTGGGCCACCCTACAGCCCCCACACTCTTCAGTTCCTCAATACCTTCCTGAGGACTGGAAACGGACAACTGGTTTCTATCTGCACACACAGGGGCAGTTCCGTGCTCTTGCATCCCAGACACAGAAAGTAAATAAAGGAGTGAATGGTGCCTGTACGGCTGGCCCAGGGCTCTCCCCGGAATTTGGCCAAGTCGCTTCTTCTCCCACGCAGTCTCTGAACACACAGAGAAAAGCGTGCCTGGAAGAAGAGGGCTGAGACCCTCAAATGAGCCAAATATAGGCTCAGAGAGGCCAGGCCTCTTCCTCTGCTGGAAGCCAGGACAGTGATCACCTGATAGCACTTTGCAGACGGCAAAGTTTGCTCACTCTTTGAAAGCAGGTGAAAGCAAACATTTAAGCACCTACTGTCAGGCACTGGGCAAGCACTGGAGAGGAAATGACACTGTCTGCCCTCAAGGGACTTTGTGGGGTGTGTAATGATATAATCACAGCGAAGGTGACAAGGGCTGTGGGTGAAGGTGAGGGCATGGTGGGAGGAGTCAGGCATGGGGTGGCCCTGAGGGAAGAGGTAAACAGAATTTGACCAGTGATTAGCAGGGAGAGTCCTGGGAAGGGAGAAAGAGGACTTTGTAGCCAGACAGCAGATAACGGAGAAGACACTATGTGAAAAGCACGGGGTATTCCAGGGGCTGCAAGGTCACGCACTGCGCCTGATAAAGGGGGAGGTGACAAATGAGTCTAGAGGGGGTGGGCAGGGCCCCTCTGAGAGACTAAGGGCTGTGGGGGAATTCAAGGATGAACACACTCACGGGGCCAGAGTCTCATCTGGACAGGAGACAGCACACCAACAGTTACATGACAATCTGGGAGAAACCACACTTTTTTTTTTTTAAATCAGGACCAGTGCTCATGGGCACGGGGTCAACCAAATCCCTGGAATTGACAACCTTTATGGATCTTTTGTCAACAAGCTGAAAATAAGTTACTTTGGTTAGGCAGAATCCTAGTTGGCTAGATAAACTTTCCCAGAAAGTAATGATTATTGGTTGAGATCAACCTGAGGGAAATCTTCAGTTGTGAGCCTCGGAGACTAGTCCCCCCCACCTCACCCCCATTTATTTTGGCCTAGGGGGGTGAGGGAACAAGTTATAGGGCTAGGCTCCCTTTCTTATCAAAAAGCCATCAAGATACACCAGAATCACAGCAAAATAACTACAATAAGACACAAAATAAGCTTCCAGGGAAAATGACTAGATCATACACTTTTAAAAATGGAAAATCATGTAAATCCCAAGTTTACAAAAAAAGTGACTTTAGTACTCAAGTGTGATCAGCTTATTCTCAAGAAAACACTGGGGACAGCAGAAATGCAACCTTTGGACCAGAGGTGGAGCCCATTGCTCTGCGGGGAGGCTGCTCTGTCCTGCTGGCTGGTGAGGGGCCAAGAGACGCTTCACCATTTTTCCGGGGCACGCTGCCTGGATTTGCTTTCCTGTGTGTCCACTAACACGCTTTCATCACAGTCTTATCACTGTCAGCTCGACCTGTTACACTGTAAGTATTGCTGAAAGCTGCCACTGGGGAGCATTTGCGGAGGGATGGTGGGAGAGAACTCCTGTCTCCCCTCATCCTCCGGGTTCCCCTCCACATTTCCGTGTCAGGCACCCAGATGTTACCCCTGGGAGAACTTTCCAGCAGTGAGAGTCCCTACAGGTGGATTGGTCGTGGGTGGTGAGCTTCCTGGCCCTTGATGGGGTCAGATGGGGCTGGCTGCTCACCGGAGGAGGCAAGGACACAGGTCAGCAGAATGTTTAGACCCATCGTGGGGTCTCTCCTGACGTTGAGGCCACGATTCCGTGAATCAATGCCCGTTGCACTAAGTTTGAGCCCCAGGAGATCAGACTGGGGTGTGTATGTGGGGGCGGGGGTTGGGGGGGGCGGGCGTTGATCAGCATTCTGCTTTCAGGAAAGACTTCCGGAAGGGAGACAGGACTGCTTACACCTGGTGGGGAAGGCACGGCCAGGCCGCATCCCCATGTAAGGCAGCACAGAGCTGAGGAGTAGCGGCCCAGAGGCACAGACAGGCAGGATATCTTCGTGCCTGAGGTTGACACGTCCCAGGGTGGGCCGATGAAGTCAGGGTAGGGTCTGGATCCGGCTCTGGCTCTGCCGTGTCCTCGATGGGGAGCTTGGGCAAGTCACTTCACCTGCTCACTGAGTCCTGGCTGTCCCACTAGTCACGGGGACCAAGCCTACCTCACAGGGCCTCCGTGCGGCTTACAGAACAGTTATAAACTCTTTATAACTCGGAGCCCCGAGTCTGGCACCTGCGGGGCTCAGGAAAGGTCACATTCCATCCCCTCTCTTCCGATCTCCCGGGCCAGCGTGTCTCTCTTTTCTCCCTTCTGGGCCTGTTTCTCTGGGTGGTTGGCGCGGGGCGCTGGGCGGAGTGGACTTGGCAACCTAGCGGGGCGCCGCCTTCCCTCCGCTCGGCGGGCAGTGCTGGGCGGGACCTGGGAGCTCGCCAGGTGCGGACAGGTATTTCCAGTTGGGCCAGAGGAGAGAGGGGCGGAGGTGGGATGGGATGAGGGAGGAGATCAGAGGAGCCGGGAGCTAGGTGGATCCCCTGGGAGGAGGGAGGGAGTCCTGCTCCCCGCCGGGTGCTCCAGCCCCGGGCTCAGATTTCAACTCCGGCTGCCGGGTAGCGGAGGGAGGGGTCCGGGGGAGCGCACCCCGGAAGGAGGGCGCGCGGAGCCAGCCAAGGGCAGCTCCCGCGGCTCCCGGAGC